AAAATTTTGCTTTGTGTTCTTTGTGTTTTAGCATTCATTGAGAGATATCTCTCCTATAATAATCGTATATCTAAATTACTTATGCTGTTATTTATGGAACTTTTAAAACGAAACGAGTTTTGAATGCTGCAAGATCAACAACGTCTGTATTTCACATGTTCTATGATTACACCTACTCTCTCTCTGAATTCAACTAACTAATACTAATTTTGTAGATAGACCATAGCAGGCAATTGTGAAATAGACATTCAGCTATTTTTGCTAACTTCATAGACTAGAGCAACACAAGAAATACTTACAGATGAACTCCAGTAACACAAGCATAGTAATTTTTATTTCAAGCAGTAATAATTAATACATCATTGTAAACATCATCCTTCTTCTAAAGCTCTTATTTGTACCCTCAATTCAACCTGCGCTTAATAAAATAACTAAATAATTTATGGCTCATCAAGCGCTTGCTATTGGAATAGAAAGAATATAAACTTAAAATCAACAAGCTACACTTAATTGCCACCTTTGAATAATTGGATTGAGTGTGTCAGCATTAATTCATCATATAGAGAAATCTAAAAATGGAGTTCGTAAATAGTATCCTCCTTCAATATCAGCAGCTCTCCACAACGTAATCAAAGATGTTACAACTACCTAAGAAATATTTTAATTTCTAGGTTTTATGGTCTTAAGGAAAAATTTGAAGGAATTTAAATTAATCATTGACATTTGTACTTAGATCTAATTATTGAGATGCAAGTACTCATAATGCTTAAGCCTAGTCCAAAATTTCTATAAACCCTAACAAGTAATCCTGTAGGAAGAAATGATTTAATCCAATAAATATGCTAAGTCACTTATGAGTAAAACTGCACTTAAGCCTTGTAATGCTAAATGAATAATGAGTCTTGATAGCCTTTAGCTACAGTCAAATAATCCAGCAACTAGTTTGTGTTTCACAAGTGTAGTCTACTGTAAGTTGCTTTATTAGGTAAACCCTAGGCTCAATGCACCTATCAAAATATGTTCTTTGTGGGAAGCTACGAAGTACTTGCAGTAAAACATCCAGTGAATGAATCACAATGTGTTGCAACAAAAGAAAAAGCTTCCTATTTGAATAATTAATAATATATGTGCATCGCTATTACGTCATGCAATTAATACCTGAGTCAGCCTGCAAATTGAGATTAAACTTTAGCTTAGGGAACTGTTTTTTGCAAACCATAACAAGTGTAACCCTCTTTGAATATTTTTCCGTCAGCTTGATGTCAATCAACTACAATCATGTTTGTTAACTGGCTATTAAATGCTTTTTGTTAGCACTCTATCTTTGAATTTGCCCCAAGCTAATGATTCGCCAAATATTTATTGAAAAGGTAAATTTTCTCCCAACTAAGAACTGGACTTGTGGAATTTGTTATCCTTGTTTGATCAATCTAATTCCAGTCTACTCGGGTTGTGCTAATGTTATCAAAAATTACTCAGGCTGACTGGTTAATCTTTTGTTTTAGTGAAGTATAATAGACCAAATTATCCAAGATCCAAAACAACATTTTCTTAAGAGTAATTTGAAAATATGACCTTAAAGGAAACATATCTAAGTGACACATCTTGAATTTAATTTAATGATTCTTCATGCTTTGTAGTAACTGTGTTTTACCAGTTAAAATATTTGAATTCAAACTTTATCTTAAATCTCTAAGATATTTATAACAATTAGTAATAATTGGGAAAAATTGTAAAAGCGTTTTTGAGCTAAACAAATTCAACTCTACGAAAATGTTTAACCATATCTCCAAAATAGAAATGAAAAACTTTGAGTATTTAATTAATGTAGTTAATAAAAATAGATTTTTATCGAACATTCAAAAAAATTCCTTGTCTTAGTACTTCTTATTCTACATCACAAGAATATTAGTTAATGTTACTTCCTGAAGTCTCAGAGTAAGGTTATATATGAATAGTCTGCTTGCATATACCTTTGTGTTGCTTGTATAACAGCTGCACAATTTATTATGATTATTGGACTTCTAATGTTATTCAAAGAGCAACAATAAATTAATTAAAAATATTACATGTATGACACAATAAATAACCAGATAAGTGCACAATAAAACTGTCGGTATTATGATATGATGCATTCCTCAATTTATAATTAGTTGATGCACTTTGAATTAATGTACTTCATTATTCTAGGTGTGTCGTTCTGAGTATATAGCATGCTCTAGTTTTCATTAAAGAATAGCTTCTTCTTTTAAATCTAATAAGTTTAAGCACTTTCTTGCTGAAGAAATCTGAATCTGCCTATAAACATATGTTATAGCTGCTGAATATACAGGAATATCTTTTATTAGTGTCTAATCAAATAGAAATGACTAATTATTTAATCTATATCGTATTATAGTAAAAGAAGATTTTGTAAGAATCCTTGGATTGACTTCATTATATTTTACTTTGATGAGCTCATTCTTGTAATTCTAGTATTTTTACTTTAATAATTAAATTACCAATATTATTTAATCATCATACTTTAGTGTTACATAATCTAATTTATGACTGTAAAATAAACTGTCTTATATAATTATCTTAGTAAAAAAGTAACTTAGACAAGAATTAATTAATGATATAGTGATAAACTGAATAGATCCTCTGATACCAGTTTTTCAAATATTTCTGCACAGACTAATAATACTAAAGTGACTGGCAAAGAATGGTATGTGGAAAAAGCACTTGTTTAGAAAAGAAATTGAGAATACCTGAACCTGCCTAATCTCATTTAAAGTGTATACGAGTCTTTTCCACCTGTTACTACAGAGGAGTGCATTGAGAACTTTATTTTACAAACTTAAACATGAGCTTCTATATTTGTAGAAATGAGGGGAGCCACTAATAGATAGTGTTTAATTTAAGAAATATTCATGAAAGTGTAATATTGTAAATTGCTGTAAATTTGATAGTTCCAATTTTTATTTATTCTTGGCCATGGTTCTCATGATTCGAAATATAATACTGCTAACTCTAGAAACTGAACCACCAGCAAAGTTTTCATCAATAGCTTCAGATAGAAGGTCAAGAAATTGCAAGAATATGATCAATTTCTTTGTTGATCAAGTGGCAGTTCTCTAAAAAGAGTTTGTTGCTCATCTTTAAGCTTTCTTTGGTCTAAGCCTATTTCTACCTCAATAATCTTCTAATTAATTTGATTAACTATTTGCTTTAATTCATTGGATATTAAATATATCAACTTTTTCATGTCCTTCATATAGTAAAATACATTAACCAAATCTGTTGTCAATAATTCCCATATAATTTGCTGTTTTATCGCTGGAAGTTCTGATAATGTTAGCAGAATCAGTAGAATTCAGCAACACCTCCCATTTCTGATAAGCAACAATTCGCTCTCATATTTGGTTTCTTTTGCCGGTTTCTATGCGAAGTAATCTGCTGATATTCCTGACTTGCTATTTTTAATATATATATAATGTGTTTTCTTTGAAGAAATTAAATCGAAACAAGATTGATACATAGAAAAATTGTATAAATAGGCTAACTACGATTTTCCTGTTTTCCTCTAGGTTCTATTTAACTATTGCTATTTTTGTTAATACAATTACAAATGGGAAGATCTCCTAATAGCTCCTTAATTGTTCATTAAATTTGATAATAATTTTGTAATTAGGATTCGTTTTATTAGGTTCAGTAAAAATAACCACTGGTTCTGAAAGAAAAAGAACAGTTGACTAAAAGAAAACTGCGCCTTCATTTAATTTAAAAGGAAATTAAATTAGCTAAATAAGCATTGCAACAGAATGTGCAGAGAACGAGCAAAATACACTTAACTGATTTATAGAGAAGTAAATTATAGGATATTGGAAGTTACACTGCTCATATTCAATGACAGGACAACAATAAAACCTGTTAAGTATTATAATATTAAACCCTTCACAAAAAGTGCCTATTAACAGAGACTAACTTAGATGATATGGAATTGTTTTTGTATCAGAAGATGAAGAAACATATTGTGATAAGTGTGGATCAGATCAACATGCACCAACTTAATTTTACCAGGGTCAGTTAAAACTCAAACATCATGGGGAAACACCATTAATCAAAAAAATTACATAAAATCTTCAATTTAATAGATTTAATGGGAAATGAAGCTAATAGGTAATTGAAATCCCTATTAAAATATGAGAATAATTTGTAATGACAAAATAAAAATACAAGAGAGAACATTTTATAAGCCTTTAAGAGCTGAGGAATAAGATTAGATTATTAAAGATATTGTGAAATCTAAGACCTATCATAAATAAATTAATGAGCTCCACTATTGGTGTGCATATATAATTAAATGTAGATATATAGCTTCGTTTATTTTGAGGAATCTGATCTAATATAAATTCTCCATGGTGCATCAACAATTCATATAATTAACCTATTTTTAATATTTTTGACCAATACTTACTTTTAAAGACTTAGCAAGTTTAAAAAAACTATATTTTTTGAATAAAGTGCTAGATATTCTATTTAATTAAGTCATTAAATCAATAGCTAATTCTCTATGGGTATTTTAATTGTGAGAATATATGAGTGAACTTTATGATTGATGCTTGATGCTTGCAAAGATATGACTATTTATTAAGTTGAGAGTATTATCATCCGTAACTGATCATATCCTAATTTTGAAGAAAGTTAAGTATAATAGAAGTCAGATATGGATAGGTTTTTTGATCACTCCGACATATCATAGGAATTCAAAGCCAATAAAAAAAGCTACAAGAAACAATAAGGGAAATAAGTTCTTAGCTATATCAAATTTAAAGCTATAAACAATCATTCTAAAACTTTTGTTACAAATAACAAAAATGCTGAAGTGGTTTGCTTTATTTTGAGATCTAAAATTTTATATATATATATTTTATTCATTCCAGAAGTTTTTGTTTTTATTTTTACAATCAATCTCAGAAAGCTAAATTCTCTAAATAATAATGAAATTCATAAAAATTTCATAATTGATATAAAGTATTGTTTTATTGTATTTTTCCTTCTTCTGGCAATTTCATACCCCATTCTGCTGTTAAAAAATAACACAATTCTTATTCTCTCATTTCTATTCTTTTTCCTGACTACCTAATATTTAAAATATAAATTTCTATAATTATATATTAGTCTCGTACTCAATGTCCAATTTCATTTATTCATTTCTTTAAGGATTATTGTCGTTTGGCAAAAAAATTGGATTAACTTAATCAATAGTCAATGATAAAGCTTTCATATTTTCAACCTTCCAATGTGTTGCATCAATAAGAACTGTTAGAATTGAATCATTTCTAGTTTTTGTTTCATGATGAAGACTCGTCATAGAAACAATTAATGTCTTGAATTTGGAGGCAAAGTCAGCTATGAAATTAATTTTTACATTAATAATATACATTAATTTAATTTAACATTTTCAAGTCCAACAATTTACTATTAAAATTCTGTTTCATCATAATATTTTAATATTTTAATTTAAGAACAAAATTTATGATGTAAATGAGTGTTGTTAAGACAGCTAAATTTTTTGATAACTTTAATCTTTTCGTGAGATTAAATAGTAGTTATGGATTAAATTATAGAAATTAAGGAATTTTTTTTTTGTGTACTATTTATGAAATTCAATGATTTTTTATTAGCGCAATTCCAGATTCCTCATATTTGATATTAAATTATGGTAAAAATTCAATATCTTTAGAATTTAAATAATTACTGTAATACATTACTATGCTACTTTTAATCTATAAAATTGTGGAAATTTTTGTTTCTAATTAAAGAATATATACAATTTACCATTTTTTAAATAATAAATACAAATTTCATACTAACAGCCTAATCATGAAATTCTAATGCTTCATGAAATATACTTAAATTGTGTAAAATTGATAAACTAGTTCTAATAATTAAGCAAGAGTTAAAATAATAGAAAAATGTATCATAACTATTAAAATAATGAGAATGTTTTAAGAGAAATTTGGAGTGCAATATATATATATATATTATTCCAATACTTCCAGAATTGATTCATTATATGTAATTTCTAATACAATTTTATGTAAAATAAAATATGAGCTAAAAAATCTACTTATTTATACCTTTGCCATTATAATGCCTTGAACCTTCTGGGTTTTTCTGAATTGCTAAATCATAGTTATCCAAAGTTTTTTCAACTCTATTTATTCTATCTAAAATTGTGTTAATATTTTCACGTTAAGAAATATCTCTTTTAAAATAATAATCTGAATCTTCTGGTATTTTCAAAAATGCTGGATCATTATAATCTAAGTTTCTTCAAATCTCTTCATTTTATGTAAAAGTCTTTTCTTTAATTCATGTATGTATTTGTGACTTTTATCTTGTAAACTATTTAAAAGTGTTCCACAATTTTTCTATTGGATTCAACTGCGGCGTGTATGGTGGTAACAAAATGTAAAACACTGCATTCAATAATTTTGCCACTCTTTTTGACTTGTGGATAGGACTATTATGAAAAACAAGTTCAAAAGGTTTGCCATCATGGAGTTGCTTTAACACCCTAATTAATTAAATAAGGTAATAATACTTTGTTTTATAATATTTTCAATATTTTTACCAACATATATCTATGATTTCTACTATTATTTTATCATTATTATTCATTATTTCAACATTAATATTTTTCAATTATAGTAATCATAATTAGTGTCAATTTACATTTTTTTATGAAACCACAAGTATATTAAATACATACTCTATGTTTTATGCAATAATTTTTTTAAAATATACATTAATCATTATTTTATTGAATATTAAAACATCAAAAACTTGTTATTATTAATAGGGCTAGTTAATGAATTTTTTGGTTTTATGTATTTATTCTTTATTCTATTTTTTTTTTTCAGACTTCTCTCGCTTTTTTAAATTTTTGATTTTTTACATTTAATAATTTTTATTATACTAATCATGTTTCTTTTCATTTTTCATGTTATTAAGTTCTTTTAAAAAATTTCAAGCTTTTACCAAGTTACAATGTATTTAATAGGCCAAGAAACACAAGCATACAATTGATTACTTAAATCTCAACTCCTTCGTCAACCTTGAAAGGCAAGTTTAACATCTCATTTTGGAAATAAAGCAAATTGGTACGTATTAATTAAAACAGAGCAAGTCCCTTAAAGTCAATCTTTCGTCATAGTGTGTCTCCAATGGCTCTGAACAGTAATTGATCTAAATTATTCTCTCAAAGAAGAACGGGTGCATCTTGTTTAATAGAACCAGACTACTAGAGAGCAAGTATTTTTATATAAAAAAGATCTTCCATAAAAGAAACCCTTCAAAGAAAAAAAATCCATCATGTGATACAGTATTATTATTTTTAGATAACTTTTTGGCCTGCACTATTTCACACCATAAAAAATTTAGAGGCTAGAGAGGTAGTTATATAAGAAAGAGGATTAGGAGTAACATCATTGTGTCACGAGGGTTGTTTAAGGAAATATATTAAAAATGGTTTAAGCACTAGACACAGGATGTCCAAAAATAAAAAAAGTTGCTGACAAATAGTGCAAGGGGAACTAAAAATGATTTGAGCCTGGTTGGTTAATAAAGGTGAAACACTTGATTTGCTTTTATATTCCATAAGGGTGATATCTCGAAATTAAGCATCCATTGAGGCATTAAATTGTAATAAATCTTAGTTATACTACAATATCAATATCAATTTAATTACTATTATTTTTATGCTTTATATTTTTATATATGGGAAAGAACTTTGTTTCATTCAATTATAGNTTTCTTTAATTCATGTATGTATTTGTGACTTTTATCTTGTAAACTATTTAAAAGTGTTCCACAATTTTTCTATTGGATTCAACTGCGGCGTGTATGGTGGTAACAAAATGTAAAACACTGCATTCAATAATTTTGCCACTCTTTTTGACTTGTGGATAGGACTATTATGAAAAACAAGTTCAAAAGGTTTGCCATCATGGAGTTGCTTTAACACCCTAATTAATTAAATAAGGTAATAATACTTTGTTTTATAATATTTTCAATATTTTTACCAACATATATCTATGATTTCTACTATTATTTTATCATTATTATTCATTATTTCAACATTAATATTTTTCAATTATAGTAATCATAATTAGTGTCAATTTACATTTTTTTATGAAACCACAAGTATATTAAATACATACTCTATGTTTTATGCAATAATTTTTTTAAAATATACATTAATCATTATTTTATTGAATATTAAAACATCAAAAACTTGTTATTATTAATAGGGCTAGTTAATGAATTTTTTGGTTTTATGTATTTATTCTTTATTCTATTTTTTTTTTTCAGACTTCTCTCGCTTTTTTAAATTTTTGATTTTTTACATTTAATAATTTTTATTATACTAATCATGTTTCTTTTCATTTTTCATGTTATTAAGTTCTTTTAAAAAATTTCAAGCTTTTACCAAGTTACAATGTATTTAATAGGCCAAGAAACACAAGCATACAATTGATTACTTAAATCTCAACTCCTTCGTCAACCTTGAAAGGCAAGTTTAACATCTCATTTTGGAAATAAAGCAAATTGGTACGTATTAATTAAAACAGAGCAAGTCCCTTAAAGTCAATCTTTCGTCATAGTGTGTCTCCAATGGCTCTGAACAGTAATTGATCTAAATTATTCTCTCAAAGAAGAACGGGTGCATCTTGTTTAATAGAACCAGACTACTAGAGAGCAAGTATTTTTATATAAAAAAGATCTTCCATAAAAGAAACCCTTCAAAGAAAAAAAATCCATCATGTGATACAGTATTATTATTTTTAGATAACTTTTTGGCCTGCACTATTTCACACCATAAAAAATTTAGAGGCTAGAGAGGTAGTTATATAAGAAAGAGGATTAGGAGTAACATCATTGTGTCACGAGGGTTGTTTAAGGAAATATATTAAAAATGGTTTAAGCACTAGACACAGGATGTCCAAAAATAAAAAAAGTTGCTGACAAATAGTGCAAGGGGAACTAAAAATGATTTGAGCCTGGTTGGTTAATAAAGGTGAAACACTTGATTTGCTTTTATATTCCATAAGGGTGATATCTCGAAATTAAGCATCCATTGAGGCATTAAATTGTAATAAATCTTAGTTATACTACAATATCAATATCAATTTAATTACTATTATTTTTATGCTTTATATATAATGGTATTTCTAGCTATGCCAAAAGTATATTGGTTGAATTGATTTATCCATTACATTACATTGTTTCATTATCTTAAACAACTAAATTATTGTGTAATAGATCATGTAAGAATCTTCTTGCTTAATCGCTAAAGAGATCAAATCCTTTTTCTAAGCGACAAATAGTTCGATAAAATTTTAATATTTAAATTATCTTTTTAAGGTCTAATTCTTCTACCCTCATTTTTTTAATAATATAATAGAAGATTGCAGGTGTCTTGGATTCAATAATTCTTTCAGGTAAATCGGGAACTGCTTAGTTAAACAAGAATTAAAGTATTAAGCTTATTACGCTGTATTTATAAGTTAGACTTGTTAACTTAATTTGACAGCGAAACACTTTAAAATATTTGAGCTTAAAATTTTATTAGTTAGCAAAGTTTCAATATGTAATATTTAATTAGTATATAAAATATTGTCTCGCTCAATTTACATAAATTCAAAATTGTAAGATAGGATTCTAATACATCTTTTCATTATAGAATCTGCTTCTTTATCACTAATTTCAACATAACCCTGTTGACTTGGCTTTTGCAAGTTTATCCTTAATTTACGTAATGTCCAATTATGGATAATAGATCATCGAAATTCTGATTTAGTTTTTCTTGATTTTTAGGCAATACCGGTTGAAGAGTAACAATGCATCTCCAAATTATTGAGGAGGAAACATTAACTTGTAATTTTTTGACTATATCTGAAGAGAAAATTCATTTCTATTATTAGGATGTAGGAAGTTAGTTGACTATCCATCGCTAATTATTAACTCAGGATTGTTGAATTATACTTAAAGGGATAACCTTAAATTTATTCATTCTGTTCAATATGATTCATAGATAATACATTGGATACCAATTTTAATAATAATTCTTGACAAAATATTAAAATGGTATTCTGGAATTATAATTACTTACACTAATGACATTGGTTCTATGGTTTTAGTCGGAATAAGTTATCATTATCAGTTTATTCTAACTTTCCAATTATTTAATTGTAACAACTCTTATAAATGCTTTTTAGAAGTCTTTATTCCAAAAATTTTATTTATTCTAAATTTAATCCTAATATAATTCCTAGTCTTTATTGGATCTGTTTACGTACCTCGTTAAATTACGATTCGATATTTTACTATTTCTATTAATGCAGAAAGAGGCTAATTTTGTAGATTTTATAGATTTCTAGACAATGTAAGAGCTGAAGTTGAATTATCGTCTGCTATTGATATTTTCTATAAAATCAATTAATAATTACCCTTTCAACTTTTCCTAATGAAGAAATTTTTTTACAATTCTTCATAAATTTAATCTAATTAGGTAGGTTCATAATATTCAATATCAAACTGCAGAGATTCAATTGGTTCCTGGCAGAGTTCTCGATCTTAGGATCCTATTAATAATAGTCTAGTAAATTGATTTTTGAGAGCCAAGAAAATTAATATGATTATAGAGGATTTTCCAAAAATATCAAATTTTTGGAAGATTTTCATTTTTTCTTCTTATCGTATCATTAGAACCTGTCAATAGAATCAAAGAAACCAAATCATAACTATGTAAGTCTTCAGTATATTCGCTTATCTTGAGTAAATTGTCTGAACCAGGAATTAATTTACTAAAAATAGATGAATAATTCCTTATGCCTAAGGGATGGGTATCTTGGTATTCTCTTAAAGAAATTCCAACATTGGGAACAGTCATACTTAGGATTCTTTTATTGTTTTATTACAACCCTGGCTAGGTGTTATTCGTTCACCTCTAATAAATAATTACCGTGCCTGCCTATGTTTCTCTGAATAAGGATCTCCACGTTAGAAATTTAATATCATTATTAAAGATTAAGCATGTTGTCATTCAATGTTTATAGCGAATTTTACTTAATAATGTGCAAAAATCTTTTCTTCTAAGAATTGCCTTGAAGTATTTATATTAATTATGTGTATTATTAATCTATACAATCATCAACAAGGTTAAATTAGAATGAAAAATATGATTTCTTAAAAGAGAACTCATTTTAAATAAAAAATAAACCAATCCACAAATAAAAACTAGTGTTAACAATAATCGAATAATAAATCGATATTTTTCTTTGATATTTCAAGCAATAATTCAGCACAGAAAATCATTGAAATATTGAATTGATCTCATGTAGATTCTTATTGAGATGTAATTGAACAATCAATAAATTCTATATTATTGATTAGGAATTTTTTTCATTATTGCAATCCGATGGCAGGACTACAAAGATTGACAATTGATTATAATTAAATATTTGTTCAATAATGATTATTTATGGAATGACGAATGTCATTATAACTGACTATTTTTAAGTTTATTTAAATTTTGTTCCAAAGAGCAACATTGATTTGTAATTGTATCAACTATAATATTATTTAATTTTTATATAATTAAAAATATTTACATAATTCTTAATATTTCCAACATAAAATTTTCATCATCATAAAAATACATAATTGGAGAACTTTTTTGAATTTCTAAGGGTAATTATGAAATCATTTGAAGATGATTTATTTATATCCGTATTACCAAAGTAAGACATCTGTATATATACTTATAACAGCGTTCTGATATTTTTGGATGTCATAGGTATTTTGCTATGTTTATTAATATCATATGTTGATAGCTTTCAATGAATACATTCAAGAATTCTCTAAATTTAATATAAAGATCTCAAATCCTGAAGTAAGAACGTAAAATAGAAAATAAGAGAATGCAAAAAAAAAGTTTTCAAAAAGTACCCAATCATAAAATACCTTCAAAATGAAGACTTAATAAGCAATTTTTAGGTTGACATATTCCTTTTGGAAGCGAGAGGGTTTTCTTGAAGAAAAAATAAATGACTTCTATTAAGAATTTAAATTTCAACCTTCTAAAAGTATTGTACTAAAGTTTTCATTTCAAATTTTTTTTACAGCACTTAATTCGTTTTCTTAATCAGTTCAAACTCTTTACTAAAATGTTGTTCAATCTATTAACTATAAATAGCATTTCTTTAAAGCACAAATTTTCCTCTTCTAAATTTAAATAGTTCATTATTATTGTGCATTTCACAATCAGTATAGGATCCAAACCATTACATGTAACNTCAATATTGAAGGTATTTATAATCCTTCTTATCTAAGAATATATAAATAGATTACTTCTTCATCATCTACTTATATTTCCTCTGAAAAAGGATCTTCAAGTTGTAAAGGTTACATCATTATTAAAGATTAAACATGTTGTCATTCAATTTTTATAGCAAATTTTGCTTAAAAATTGTACAAATTCTTTTTTTCTAAAGTATTGCCTTGAAATTTTTACATTAATTAAGTATGATATTAAGCTATAAAATCATCAACAATGTTAAATTAGCATGAAAAATATGATGACTTAGAAGAGAACTCATTTTAGTTCAAATTAAAAATAACCCAATAAAAATTAATGAGAACAATAAGCCAATAGTAAATGGATATTTTTATTTGATATTTCAACAATACTTCTACAATGAAATATATAGAAATATTGAATTGATCTCATGTAGATTCTTATTGAGATGTAATTGAACAATCAATAAATTCTATATTATTGATTAGGAATTTTTTTCATTATTGCAATCCGATGGCAGGACTACAAAGATTGACAATTGATTATAATTAAATATTTGTTCAATAATGATTATTTATGGAATGACGAATGTCATTATAACTGACTATTTTTAAGTTTATTTAAATTTTGTTCCAAAGAGCAACATTGATTTGTAATTGTATCAACTATAATATTATTTAATTTTTATATAATTAAAAATATTTACATAATTCTTAATATTTCCAACATAAAATTTTCATCATCATAAAAATACATAATTGGAGAACTTTTTTGAATTTCTAAGGGTAATTATGAAATCATTTGAAGATGATTTATTTATATCCGTATTACCAAAGTAAGACATCTGTATATATACTTATAACAGCGTTCTGATATTTTTGGATGTCATAGGTATTTTGCTATGTTTATTAATATCATATGTTGATAGCTTTCAATGAATACATTCAAGAATTCTCTAAATTTAATATAAAGATCTCAAATCCTGAAGTAAGAACGTAAAATAGAAAATAAGAGAATGCAAAAAAAAAGTTTTCAAAAAGTACCCAATCATAAAATACCTTCAAAATGAAGACTTAATAAGCAATTTTTAGGTTGACATATTCCTTTTGGAAGCGAGAGGGTTTTCTTGAAGAAAAAATAAATGACTTCTATTAAGAATTTAAATTTCAACCTTCTAAAAGTATTGTACTAAAGTTTTCATTTCAAATTTTTTTTACAGCACTTAATTCGTTTTCTTAATCAGTTCAAACTCTTTACTAAAATGTTGTTCAATCTATTAACTATAAATAGCATTTCTTTAAAGCACAAATTTTCCTCTTCTAAATTTAAATAGTTCATTATTATTGTGCATTTCACAATCAGTATAGGATCCAAACCATTACATGTAACAGATAATATCTATTTGAAAAATGCTCAAATTTACTATGGTTCTAAAATTTCCAACTAAACTGTATGTTTGATTCTCTTTTATCGGTGTACTGAAATTTTTTTTTAATATTAAATGTTTTGTTCTCCCATCTATTGAAAAGCGTAGCCTGGAATTTTAAATTTTGAAGACACTTGAATGCAGTTAAATTTATCCTTTTCTTCATTTCAAAACAATATATAATAACGAAATATATCTCATTGTTGAATAAAAGATTATCCATTCTGGCAATATAAATTTACTTCGCTATATGATTACGATTTACCTATAGACATTGCATACTAGCTATATTGGCAAATTCTCTTTCTGGGACTCTCTTCTCTGTTGCAACATTATTATTGATTCAATATAATGTAAACTGTAATAATCTTTAATTTTTATCTATTCTCTTTACCAAAAATTTAAATTATTCTATATATAACTTTATTAATTTCTTTTTTTGTACTTACGAATAGAAGATAATTACTATGCAAGTATAAGACAATAATTTAGAAATTTACTAATCAAATTTAGATAACCTACCATGCTTTATTCAATTCTTTTTTTTTTGATTAAAAATGTGTTATGGATGTACTCTAAAATTCAAAAGAAAATGCAAACTATGATATTGTCCTAGATTTCATTTATTATTATAAACTAATTGTTCTATTAATATTGCTCAATTAGATGCTCTCTCTTTTAGGTATTTGTTGCTAACAATATTACATTTATTATGATTCCTTAAATATTTATTTTCATATGTCAAATCAATCTTGGCAAAAACAGAGATGGTACATTATAAGAAATAATTATATAATATGATAAACTTTTTATCATGGTTGGCTACCTCAAGCCCATCTAATGCGGGCATGTATAGTTGTATTAGATTTAAGGCCTAATTGAAGAAGTGATTTTAGATATTTAGGGTAGTAGTTGCAAGGTTAATCAAAAATATATAAATTACAAGCTGCTGCATTTCTTAATAAATTACAAAAAAATACTTTGCAATTCCATAATAGGAATACACAGCATTTGCTACATCTTCAAGCAAATCATTTTCAGAAAAAATACCTTAGAATTGTCTTTATATTATCCCATCAGTTATAATTATTTGAAGAGTTACTAAATATGTCTTACCTTAAAATTAACCAGAATTTTGATTTTAAACTGAATTAGGATTAGATTTTTGAGTTTACGATTGATTTTATTATTATTATGGAAGAGAATTTTGGAGTTGTAAATGTTAAGGTTACCCTTATTATTGGACTGGAGCTGACAATTATTAGACAGGTGAGTTTACAAGATTATTATTTGGAGTAATCATTTGAATTCTTGCATTAGGCGAGGTATTGATGATTAGAGTTTCATTTAATACATCTTCTATGCGACGGAAACGATCTAAATTTATGCATTTTACCTGAGAATAGCATGTCCAATTTTATACATCTGAATTAAGTCTAGTTCTAAGAATAAAATAAACAATACCCAAAATAACCCTAAATGAAATCAAATAAGTCAGTGATTAAGGCATCCTTATCCAAATCCAAATCTAAAGTTAGAACTTCATTTAATGGAAGTATTTTGAGAGACACCCTTTGCATAATAAAATTAATAATATTTATTTTTTAATAGAAATTTAAGCTTTAACTTTATAAGAAATATCTTTAAAAACTTGACCTGATAATTTTATTTGATCAATGAAACTGAGATCATGAAAATCTATGAACTAAAAATCTTTGTTGATTGTCACATGATTTTGTAATACAAGCCGTTCTTGTCCAATAACATGAATCTGAGACTGTACATTTATTAGTAATAAAAGCTATCGTTATCATAATCAGCAGTTGCAGGAGCAGTAATACAAGTCTTGTCAGCACATTTTTTACCATTCCATCCAAATTAATCACCTTAGGAGTTAATTAATATTATTATTTATTAATATAAGTTGAAAGTGCAGCATTTTATTAACATCCCCCTAAAGTTGAAACATCACCTTTATTGCTAGGAGTAGCAACAAAGGTACATTTTATGGTACTATATTATAGTTAGCATATCAATTATTATGGGTTGTAGAGAAAGTAGGAGCACTAGAACAGTATTTATTTTGGCAAGAGGTTTCAGGTAAAACACCAACGCATTAAGTATGAGTTCCTTCCAAAGCGGAGGCTTCAATATTATGTCAATTCAAATCAAATCAAAATAAGACAATTTGTTTGGATTACAAAAGCATTTTCTACCTTTTGCATTATTAGAGTTAAGTTTTGTAAGAAACGCAAACTATTCTAGGCTGGTAAGCTCCTAATTTAGCTACAGAACATGATTATTGGTATGTTGAACATATTGTGTCATCATTTCGAGTTGAATCCGCGTATTTAGGTGTCATAGTTTAGCATCTATTGCCTCCATAATTTACAGTACACGTATGAAATATTGCGATTTCAATGAGTGTATGAAATTACTATAGAATTTGCAAAGATTCTTGTAACATAAGAAGTTGTTCCATTATTGTACATTTCGATTTCATTCCCTTACAATTTGTTTTGCTGTAATTCCTGTTCCTAATTATGCTGCATCACAAGTGGAAGTGGCTGAAGAGGCTATATAGGCAAAGTTGTTATTTTTTTTGCAATTCATATACCAGCCGCTGGTTAATAACAATTGGCTAGCACTGTGTATCTTGAACAATGACCTTACTATTAGACAAAAGCACTTTATGCTCGATAGGCACTGCATCCTGTATTGTGAGACTAGCAAAAATCATGAGTTATGGTTCCCAGTTATTGTAGCACAATCAGGTGCAATATTTAAAATTGTGATGCAAGTGAGATCTTATAAATAACATTTTGAAGTATCAGATTATGTAAAATTAAAGGGTTTACATTCATATTATTCGCAAGTTGATTTCAGGTCATAGCATTTAGATCAATCAGAAACCGATTTACAATTGTTGCAATCGTCTTAACGTTGAGCGTGATTCCTGTTAAGACCTGATAATGTTAGGGCAATTGGTTTATGGACTAATCGTAGCCACATTCCTAAGCATTTTATCGGTAGAGCAGCATCAGTGATCAATTAAGCTGCAGCTGTTACATAGCCTGCACAAGTAGCAACTTTAAATAACAAGCAGTTCCTGTTAAATTAAGTAAACATGCAATATTATCTAATCTAATCGAGTCCCTTTGATAGAAATGCAACCAGGAAATCGGTTGCAACTAGTTCCATTCCAAAAAAATTTTCCTTTTCCAGATCTAGCACAACTATTCCTAGCTGCATAACTTGAACAAGTTACTTTATTCTCTTAACTTTCTGTGCTATCTTTTAAGGTTGTGCAAGAATAGCGATATAGTTAACATTTTTAATGACCGAAACTTGAGAACCCAGTTACAAATACACATTCAGTGCCCGCTATCACTGCTTGGCAATAAGAAGAACCATTTAATACACAATATCTTGCATTCCGTTTGCGCTTGACCTGAATTAGTTTAGATAACAATTCAACCATAGATGAATTACTTGTGAAACCCTAATATTAAATTCAAGCATTGTAATCTTAGATCTGTAAATTTTCCAAAAATTTAACTAAAATATTAAATCAGTTTTTATATTATTAAATTTATAATAGAATCTAATGTTGAGCAATCTTAACGTTTTTATACTTGATCCAGTTTTAAAGAGCAATCTATAGCGCAAGCTGTTGAGGATGTTGCCTTAACTTTGCTTGTACATCCTGTTCTATACCCTTAAAAAATTACTTAATTACCCTTAAAAGAAGTGCAGGCTCAATTAGCAAAAGTGGGTATCGCCAAGCATCTTCCTCGATCCACTTGTAATCTTCATTGGCTGTTAAATTTTTATTAGTTTTATGGCATTAAACATTGTCATATAATCTTGAACAATTTTTAGATTTAATACACATCCTTAGGTTTCAACTTTATAGAAAGCTGTAAAGGTTTCCGTTTGTGTTAAGTATCCAAAACCTTCTGAACCAGTATTAAAATTGGTTTATCTGGAGCCTTACCACAAAGAACACTTCTACAAGGCAATCCAGTCCACACACAATTCTTGTTTTTTTTTTAAATTTACAATTATCTTAGGTTTAATAAGATGTGCAAACATTTGCTAGTGGTTAAAAAGCAGTTCCTCCACTATTCACTGAACACTATTTAAATAGACCAAAACAATTTCATACAGAGTTTGGATAATATTTGTACAACAATTATAAACACATCTACTGTCATTCCAACACCAACTCCACTTGATTTTGATCCATTTTTACAATTACTTCAAATAAATTGTGAACAACTAGAAACCATGCATTTATCAGCTGAATTGTTTGAAATACAAGCAATGAGATAAGCTGAAAAGTAAATCATCCTACTGATAATGCTCCAGTCGGTCCTGCACTGTTAGATGTTAAACAAGACTTTTCAACACATAAAGTAGTGGATGAGAAGGAAAGACAAGTTGAAAATCCAGGTCTTGAAATCTCACAATTTTCATTTGATTTTCTAGCTACAAATGCTATTTGTAAGTCTTAGCATCCTTGAATTGTCAGCGAACCATTAACACTTATCGGATTATTAGCAAAACAAATTGATATGTGTCCTTAGCATTATGTAGCAGTTGTGAAGGCAGTTAAACAAACTTCATAAATGCATTAAGATCCATTTCACTCGCATGGCTAACAATTAGCTTTTATTATGCAAGCAGCTTCATATTTAAATGGAAGTGAGACACATCCTAAGCCTGAATTACATAATCTACAGAAGAGTGATTAAAATTAAGGCACTTTACTTCTTAAAGCATTTTCCTTCCTAATGAATGATCTATTACTTTATCCTTATCACAAATAGTTATAACTAATGAAATTTCACAGGCTTTAAAAAGGCTTAACATAAATTGCGATTAGTGTTATCGTTAATCTATTTGAATAAATAATTTATAAATCAATAAAATAAGAACTATTTTTGCTGGAGCATTCAGATAAATTTAATCCTTATAGGTTGAATTGCACTATCCCTGAAACAAATTTATCCTCTAAATTTTAATGCAAGCAGCTTCAAAATTATTGCAGAACAGATAGTATTTGTAACACATCCGACTCCTGTTTTTGTGATGCAATTATTTTTATTAAATAAGTTTCACTTTCACCCTTTTTTGATATTGTACCATTTGCACATTTCTATTTTAACATCCATCCACAGACATAACAGTAGAAGTAGATGAATAAGAATTACATAAATCATGGGTGTTATTGAATTTGGAATTGTTGTCATTGTAACTGGAGCTTTGTACAATCATAATCATTAATGTATTAATTTATTATATAAAATATAAATACTGATATACTTCAAAATAATATCCTATATGCGAATATTTTTCATTTCTTTCATCCAAAAATATTAAATATTACTCATTTTTGGTCATAGTTCCATAAGTGCATATAGTTTAAGAATTTAACGTTGCAACAATATTAAATGTTCCATTTTTAATTGTGTAATCAAATAGATTTGATGTTTATGTCTTACCAATATCACATTTCTATCTTAATTATTAATTGTTGGAAATAAAAAAGAATCTTCGCATTCATCATTTTCAAATAAAAAATAGTTTTATTTGAATTCTATTTAAAAAGTCCATTTTATAATTCAAATACCAAAATATCATTAATATACCTTCCATAAGTTACCCAAAGAAATTGTTAATAATTAATGAAACGGATTTTATATCCATATGATAAAACATATTAATATATTTAAATTCCCATTTTCCTTATATTCCTTTTTCCCATATTATAAATTTAGAATAACCACATGATGCTAATACAGTTTCAGATTAATTAAAACTTAGTGACAAACAAGATTGATATGATTATCAAAGAAATACAGAAAAGTTAGATCATTCTTTATAACTTCTACTTTCCATACTATTATTTTACGATCATCTCCTGAAAGTAGTTGATCCTCCTACTTAATCAACAATAAAAAATTAACACTATATGTATGTTACTTGAATGGTATGAGCACTTCCACTCATTTTGATTAATTTATTGCCAACATATAATTTAGTGATCGGAAGAACCAGAAATAAAGTTATTTATTTTTTGCTATACACTAAACAAGTTATATCATTGTTATGTTCATTATAAGAATTAGTTAATTGAAATGTTCCTTATTCAAATTTCCACATTTTAATCTACTTTTACTCACATGAAACCATAATTGAATCATCTTTATTAAACACTATGTCATAACAAAAATCCTCTCTATTTATTTGAATCATCAATGAAATTAAATTAAACTTATTTATAAATCAATTACTATTCTAATTACTTCTATTCATACTCAACTTAAATCATTTTGTTTTTTGTCTACATAATTTCATAGTTTACTTAGATTAATTCTTGCTCTTTTATATTCTCATTTGTTTCATTGACATTTCTCAACTTTTGTAAAATTTCATCACATTTTTAACTTTCTTAAAATGATTTAAATAAATTTAGATTCTTTTCAATTTTTTGATTACGCGCGATAATTGCATTAAATTAATTTGATCAATTAATGATTTTTGACTGAATTCTTCCAATCTATTCTTGTTAATTAGATTATCCAATTCGTTAAATAAATAATACGTAACATTTTATTGTCCAATTATTACTATATGTTTAATCCATTCCTCTACATTTCCTATTAATTAATCTAATACTTAAATAAATGAGATTTTAATAAAAAAAGACTTTTTTAGAATTCTTCAATTAGTTTGATATTGATCATTATCACATTCTCAACGTTTTCCTTCTTTTATTTTGATTTTACTATATATTCTCTAGAAGCTCATTATTTAGACTTTTGATTCAAAATTTTCCATGCATTCAGAACATAAAGGTCTTTCGTTCCTCTTTATTTACAATCGCAAAAAACCATAAGGACAGGAAGTTTATGTTGTAAAGAATAATGGAGGTCCTCTTCTTTTTCTATCATTTTGGATTAAATCATTTTTTAGAAAAATTATTTTTAATTAAAAAAATAAATAAACCATAGTTAAATATCTTAATTTATGCTCTAAATTCGTTATTAGTCTCAAAAAATATAAATGGTATTTGTGATATCATATTAGAAAATATGTCTAAGTTTAAATTCAATCAAATGATGCCTCTCCAAATAATCTTGTAAAGAATCTTTAAAATATTACTATCAATAGATTTTAAAAACAAAAGGTAATAAAAAAGCGAATTATTATGTTTATTCAGATTCATTTAGATCCTCAAATAATGTTTCACTAGAGAATCCCATCAACAATAAAGGGAGTTGTAAGATTGGAATAAAGTAAACCTTTAATCGCAATATTGATATGGGATCGATTGAAATCAAGAGAATCCTCAATAAATAATTTCTCATTCGATTTTGTTCCTGTTCCTTCTTACTCTATTGATTCATGCATGCTTGCTAAATCTCGAATTGAGTAAATTAATTTCAATTTACTCTAGGGATGTCTGAATTGATAAAAACCATATGAAAATATTTTCATATTGATGTTTGAGACTTAATGCACAGCCACACTTTATCAATTTTAAAACAACAGTATCTTAAGACTATAGATACATTATCTTGCTAATAGAAAATCATAAGCACAGCAAGTGCTTTGAAGAATTTTAAATTAGTGGATGTTGTTCACAGGAACCCAGAAGTAACTCACAATTTATAAACTATTAAATTGGAATACCTCATTATCTATTTCTAAAAACAATCACTATTGGTATTAGAATGTTTTTCGGGCAGAAGTTAAGCACAGAAAATAGGATATTTTGTCTAATTAAATAACATATTAAATGAAAAAGGAATGATACATAGGCATTTTATCAAAAATTCAAATAAGAATAGGCCTAATCAAAAATAATAATGAGATTATAAAGATGACATTATTCCAATCTTATTTTGATATTAGATTATAGAATGAATATAATTGGAATAATAAGTAAGCTAAAGAAAAAATGTTCGACATAGGACCTTAAGTTTCCTTAGGAGAAGAATTTTAAATACCGCTCAAATAAATATATCAAAATATCAATTACCTATAATATATAATTAAAATTACATTCATTAATTCCTATTTGCTAGATTAAGGAATACCTATTGAGAAGTAACTTAAAATCTTCGTGACACATAGCCTACTACAACCTTATAGATAGCTGAAGAATGAAGGATAAACAACTTATCCATAGCTTTGTTTTAAAATTAATTTTGTTTATTACAGTTACACAAGAAGGTATGGAACTAAAGGTTTGATGAGAATCTAACTTAATTGAAATTCAGAGATAGGACGCAATATCAAAAAAGGAGTTAATGTGAATATATAACAAAATGTATCAATGATTTATTGAAACGTCATTTACTTATTAATATCTAAGATTATGACTTGAAACTGATAAATAATTTCTTAAATTACGGACCATCTACTGTTATTAATCATATCCAGAAATGGCATATTTCTTATGAGCTAAATTAATCTTATTATTTATATATATTTGATTATCTATTGATCAAGTCCTATTTTCAAGATTAAGGCAAGAATATGCATAAAAGAAATACCAATAGGATTTTTCAAATTAAATAAAGATTAGTGCAATTTGTGTAAACTATTTCTCACTAATTATACATGTATCTAATTAATCATTGATAAATCATCTTTAAGATTTCTCTTTTTTCTTGATCTATAATCATCTAAATTAATCAAATTGATTCCCTTTATGTTCTTCTGTTCTCCTATATCCCTACCTAGCAGTATATAAATTCACATCCTATTAAGAAAGTACCTTTAAATTTAACACTCTATTCACTCAATAGATTTAATCTGTTTCAAATTAGATTAGGTTTCTCCATTCCAAGCATCCTAGTTTCCCCAAAATTTATAAATATACCAGCTTTTACAAATTTTTTACTTTAATCTCAATAGAGGGAAGTATTAAAGTATACTGATTTCTTCTAATACTTTCTTTTTAACATCAAAATAATCGCCTAGTATTCTCTTGTGGGTTTCAAACGAAAATTCATTATTCGATGTAAACAATGTTGAATTCTATTCTTTATTATATTTCTCATATTCCTTGCAATATTCCTCCGTCCTGCCTCCTAATTTACTTTACTCGCTGAATGATTATATAGATATACTCATTTCCACATATTTATAAAGTTTGTCATTATCTAATCCACTTCATAGTATATGATTCAGATATTCAATATCTTGTATAAACTTATTATATGATAAATCCTTTGATTGTCTAGAATAGTATGTTCCTTAACTAGAATTACATCTTATTTATCAAGACTAGAATAATTCATTTTTAAATATATAGTTTATCTATTTAAAATATTAATTAATTCCAAATCCTTTAATTATCTTTCTCTTAATCCTATTCAATGTACTGCTAAAATATTTTATTTAGCTGTTTCTATGGAACTGAATATTGAATTTGTCTTTTGTTATTTAAATGTGAATTCTAACTTCAAAATCTTTGTCTTTCTTAAGACGGCCATACTACTCTTCATTAAATCTTCCTCTTCTCTCTTTGATTTTCTTTCTTTGTACAACTCTTAAGACTTTTTCATCCAATGACCTTTTCTCAGAAACCATCATTATTATATATTCAACTACGATATTAATTATCATAGGCTCAAGCTCAGATAAATCAACTACTGATTACTTCAAGTCAACCATTTCTTCTAGTGGACATGTAGATATTCTAACCATGTCTTAAGATTTTTAATTAACAATAATAATTATTATTTTCAAATTAAAGGAAACTATTGAAATTCTCATCCATTCAAAACAAATATATTCATCTAATCCAAGTAGAATATACTTACAATATTCTTTTCATAAATTATTATCTTTAAAAGTCAAATGAAATTTATACCATATATTATATCAACCATTAATATAAAGCTTTAAATTTTCAACTCTATGTTAATTAACCTCATATCATATAAAGAGCATCTTGATTGTCATCGAATATAAATGAAGCATGGATAATTGATCATTTTTTGTTCAAGACATGTGACAACATAAAGTTCTTTATTTTCCATTTTGATTATTTATAAGGGTATTATTCTATTTGCTTTATACTTCATTAGGAAGTCATGTTTTATAATTTTCATCTGAATACTTTCCTTTCTTGTATCATCTTAAGTTTAGAACTCATATTATTCTGATTCCCAATAAGCCCTAGAAGAATCCTTACCATTCATGCTTATTTCACTATAATATGCATCCTCTTTACTAAATTTTAAGCCTTATTTAATTTGCAAAAACCAGAAAAAATAAAGACCTAAAATAGTTAAAACATAAGATTAATAATAACATAATTTTATTCAAACATTATAAATAATTATCATAAGCTATAGATCTCTTTTTTCAAGGGGAATTCACAATGGTTCGCTTTATCATCAAAAGAATCATGATCATTCCAAAATCTTATTACATTATTATATAAATGCTGTAATTACTTTGATATTGATATTATTCAATAATTGTATATAAAAAAATATCATTATGTTTCCTAGAAATACTACCTTCCTTTGTTTAACAAATAATTTCTTAAGCTTAAACCTGCTAGAAAGAAATAATGGATAAAAATGATTTTTTATTTCAAGTTATGCAGGTAGTCTTCTTATAAACACTGACGAAGCAGATTTTTCAAAAATTAATGATATAGGATATGATATTGTATTATCTGAGTATTCTGAACATTATGAAATGGAAGGAATTAAAAAATCTGCTACTTTATTAGAATCCATTTAAAAGAAAGGTGAATTACGAATATGCAATCTTATTAATTAGGGGAATTCATATTTTATTTAATGTATAATCGGACTTAACTTTATTTAAGAAGAAATAGATCTTAAGTATTCAAATAAGACTGAAATTATTACTTTACCTAATGGAGCATGCTAATCAATATTTTATGATGAAAAATAAATTGTTACCATATTTTGCTACTCTTTAGAAAATTTTTAATTAATATCTATTTAATTAGATGAATACGCTTAATTTTATTCTTTATTCAATTATCCTTAAGACTCTGAACTTATGCTTTGCACACCTAATTCCATTTAAATTAAGCCTTTTGGTTACTTAATAGGTTATATTAATTGTTCAGATTGGCGAATTTTTTAAGTGTTGGATAATAACATTACTCTTATTTTAGATGAAATGATATTAAGTAGCTATTAGAAGCATGTTAATCTAACAAATTTAGTGAATTTACAAATTTGCTAGGCGAAAGACTACGAAAAACATTTGTTTATGCATTATTCGATACAGGGTACGTGAAGATGGATACTTATAGGATTTTCTTGTTTCTATTACTAACTTAAGAACATCAAATAACTTAATTGGTATTTGATTATCAATGTGATGTTATTATTTTTGTTGGGTAAGAAGAATCACTCACACAATTCTAATATTATTCTTAATACTCCACTATAACATTTAGTAATTCCATCTCCTCCTCCTATAGCACATCAACATGAATAATTTAAAAGATTCTAACATGAAAAAAACCTAGAGTTATTCGTAAATTAGAAATTCATATAATATTATGATATTTCAGGTTTGCTTTTATTTGATAGAACTTTTACAACAGAAATAAATACAATATAGATAATTACAATTAATTATTTGATATTCACGGATGGAATCCCAATAATTTTTAAGGTGCCTCCAGAATACAAGCATTTATTATGTACATAATTTTGATTTAACTCTAAAAATTGTCACTATCAATTAGAATGAAGTATATAGAAATTCTAATTTTACAATAATATTTTTATAAAATCTTGAACTATTTGATTTTTTCATTTATTAACCTCAAACATATTCTCATTCTCACTCTAGTTTATTCAAATAGGTAAACCAAACTTTTATTTTTAAAATTAATATATTTATTTTTATGATGAGAACAATAACTTAGTATATATGAATGTATTCCATTAAGTAATTACTTATTAAATTTAAGATTTTAATAAAATTTTCTAAGCTACTAATATTCATATAAATCTATTATCCCAATTAAATTTCAAACAATATAATCGGTATAATTTAAGTTTGAGAATTGTAATTTAGAATTTTTAGATTATTCCGAAATCTAATTTATTAATTCAATCAATGTCAAACATTTAACACCAAATTCTGCTATTTAATCATTTTTTAGGACAAATAAACGATGTTTATTTAAATGAAAAATGCCCTATTAATTTAAGTGGGCCATTTCTAGTAAGAGAAGAGGTTATTTCATGCAATCAAAGTGTCTCTAAATATTGTCTTTAAAAATAGACCATTAAAAATTATTCGATCAGTTAATTTCCATGAGTATTTCTTAAAATAACTGAGGATGAGAATTCAACCAATAACACAAAATTGATTATTCTATCTCCTAACTACAAATGGTACTAATTAAGAAATGGAGATCTAATTTAAATTTAGGATTTCCAAAATGGAAAGAGCTAATTAATCGTGAATACCTATGATTTTATCTTCGATCAATTTATTGAGTATAAATCATTTAATTATTCCAACGTTTTTATGATTTAAATACTAAAAATCGGTGATATTATTTTTTATTAAACAAACACTTAATTTGTATTGCTATATGTGAATAGAGACTTTATCAAGATAATTTATGAGAATCAATATCATTTTGATATGGTCTATATAGAGAATTCTAACGAAGAATATATAATATTAAATTCTAGAGGTTAAATTACTCATTATAATTTTTCTTAAGGTAATGTAATTCAAATACATGCCTACACTGTAGAAAAAAAGAAACTGTTACTATTGTGTATGGATGGTAATGACTACCCCTTCTAAAAAATGATGGATTCAATTGTAGTAAATCTTGTTGA